GTATGTAATAAGGTTAAAATGAGTCTGTTTAAGAAAAAAACTTTCCTTCATATATCTTATATACAAAAAAAAGAGAATAATGAAATGGAAATAGGTCGTTAATGTTATTACTTTTTGTTTTCCTGATTTTGGAAAGTATGCATATTTCTTTTTTTTTTTATGTATATGTAAATTTGTATTATTAGTAAACCATTTTTGGTATCAGTGTTGCAGAAACTAATGTGACCATTTTTTTTTATTTCAGTTTATAAGAATTTGACATTCTTGCTTGCCAGAAAAAAACGAGTTTGTTGGTATTTGGGGATCTTGGGTTTACTGTTTTTATTGCAGAAAGAACTGCAAAAGTGAAATATCAGTATACATATTGTTGGTTAGAACCATGCTGTTGGTTGGCTTTGACAAACGTCAGCAGCCCAGTATAAGCCATTTCCCGCTACCCTTGACGCGAGAAAATGCACTTCTCCATATAATACATTGTACTGCTTCTCTCTGCTTAAGATGGCGTTTGCAATTCTCTTGCGTGCAATGCCATTTTCTTTCTTATGCTTCTGATGTATTATGTGAAAGAGGAAGTAGGATTCCCATTTGTCACTTTGTAAAATTTGAAGCTACTGTTCTTTGTGGTCTTTTGAGTATGTGGGATATCGGTTTTGATTTAAAAGGTCTTCAGTATCTCATGTTAGAAAGCTGTAGATTCTTAAATTTTGATTGCATTCTCTTGGTAATTTCAGTGTGTGTTTAATTGTGTAAATGTTTTTATGGCAAGAAATTGTGTGCATTTTCCAAGATTAATCTCAGTTGTTCAGTTATTATCAGAGCTTTAGGATTTATAGATAAAGGACTTTGCTGTTTTCACGCTTGATACTTTGGGAAAGTCGTTTGTTGATTTTTTTATTTTTTTATGTAAAGGTCTATTTATATTTCATTGGATCTCTTTTTGTATATATAATTTGTTGATTTTGCTTTATTTTTATTATTAGTTTTATTGGTTGAAGCTTCATGAATGGCTTTAGATACTGCTTTGAGCACTATTATTATTTTTGAAAAGGAATTTATGAATTTTTACAGCCTTTTATATTTACATCTCTCTTACCCTCATTATTGATCGAAGTGTAATGTTTAGCTTTATTTACTGACTTGGCTTTTTACACCCATGGCTACCTATTACAAGTCTCTGAGGACAGAAATTAGAAAGGGGAAAAAGGATGATTTTTTTTCTTCATTTATTGCAATGTTTTAATTTCTTGTGTGACTTTTTATATCAAAGAAATATTGATTTTCAGGGCCTTCATTTTGTCACAGCGAGCACTACTGGGTCTTATGTTTACTGCTCAACAAGTAGTTTATTATTTTTTTTCTAAATTTGCCTGCGTGAAGAGAGGGAAAAGTGTCATGGGGATTTTGACACATGATTTTGCTAGTTACTTTGTACATGGTGTTGAATACCTGAATCTGTCTGGCTTTTTTAAATATATAAATATATATATAATGTATATTTTTTTTTATATTTTACTGTTGCATTTCTGTTTTATATTTTTCAGGCAGTGGTTGACACCGTAAATGGACCTGTCATTTAATTTAATAACTTTGTTAGCTTTTCAGATGGGAAGTTTTTTGCATTTTTTAATCATTAAGGGAAAGTTTTCCTCCATGAGCCTGCAGCTTTGATCCCTGGCATAACATACTCTTTCGTTTTGCACAGAGCACCGCAACATGCCGGTTGATGATGCTTTGCGTTTAATTGAACAAAATTTTGGAGAATATGTCAAGAAAGCCCGTCAACGGAATATTCGTGAAGTTGTGCCCCGAGATATTCGCATTTTGATCTGTGATTTACTTGACTCGCGTCCGCTCTCCATGGGCGACCTGGACAAGTTAATCAAGTACCTGAAGGAACGGCAAAGCATACTGGTTGATGACCAGATTGAACAGAAACGAGAGACTGCTGCAGGTGAGATGATAACAGGTTACCGTTTTATGATACATACATTTTTTTTCTAATTTTTTTTTTTTTTTCTTTTTTTTTTTTTTTTTTAATCTACATAGTTGTGTTTTACCATGCGACTGCGTTCTTTCAAAGATGGTTCCATTTCCCTTCCTCCATGTGCGGTGGCTTGAACCTTCTGATGACAGACGGTGCACAGTTTCATCCTCTTACAATGCAGACATCTACTCTTTTCCTTTTTCCGTGTCTCATCATTTTTATTTATCTACCGGGTGTCAAAAGAGGCCCGATCTACCGTTGGCAATTGGTGTTTACCAACCCTTTTAGCATCTCTTTGGAGCCACGTTTGCCTGTTTTAAGTGTGCAAGACCTCTTCCCTCCGTGTCGCGAAGTTCAGGGTGTTTTAGACCTCAAGCCCTGCTCTCTGAACCCATCCCTGAGAGCTGCCGATTGCGGAAACGGGCAACCTCCCAACCCCCACTGAAATAGCCATGCCTCTGATGTGCATTTGATTATGTAAAAAAAAAAAAAAAAGAAAAGAAAAAAAAAAAAGAAGTGAAAATGAAAGAGAAATGAAAGAATAGAAAAAGAAAGGATTATTGAAAGTACTTTTATCTCTTGTTAGCATTTCTTGAAGGAATTGTTTTATTTAGAGGAAGTATCTTTCCCTTTCTCATGTACTTAACATGCCCATTCCAAGTAGGGTTTGATATTAACACATAGATAGATAGATAGATAAATAGATAGGTAGGTAGGTCAGTCAGTCAGTCAGTCAGTCAGTCAGTCAGTCAGTCAGTCAGTCAGTCAGTCAGTCAGTCAGTCAGTCAGTCAGTCAGTCAGTCAGTAGGTAGATAGTTAGTAGGTAGGTAGGTAGGTAGGTAGTTAGGTTAATAGATAGACAGATAGGCAGGTAGGTAGGTAGGTAGGTACATTAATAGATAGATAGATAGATAGATAGATGGATATAGGTAAATATGTATAAGTTTGTATTTGTAAATAGTTAATACAGATAGTCCCCTACTTAAGAACATTCTACTTATGAATATTCCATACATACAAACAAATTTTTTTAAGTACTAAAGCCCAAAAAATTGTTTGAAAGATGCTAGCTAACTTCAAATTTCCCGGGCACGAATATAGTTCAAGAGTCTGGTACTGTATAAGGTATGTCGAACTTACTGGGATTTATTTACAGGTATTCTTAATGTAAACAAAACTTTAAAACAATAGGAAAAAGGTAATGGAGACCCGACTTACAAACATATACATATACATATACATATACATATCCATATACATATACATATACATATGTATATATATATAATATATATATATATATATATATATATATATATATATATATATATGTATGTATGTATGTATGTATGTATGTATGTATGTATGTATTTATAGTTAAATATCTTAAAATAGGCATAAACATACATATCTATCTATCTATATATCTATCTACCTATATGTACATGTCCATGTCCATGTCTGTTTATCCATGAGTCTCTCCACTCATCCATCCACCCTTTCTTCCTTCCTTCCTTCCTTCCATCCATCCATCCATCCATCCATCCATCCATCCATCCTTCCTTCCTTCCTTCCTTCCTTCCTTCCTTCCATCCATCCATCCATCCATCCATCCATCCATCCATCCATCCTTCCTTCCTTCCTTCCTTCCTTCCTTCCTTCCATCCATCCATCCATCCATCCATCCATCCATCCATCCATCCTTCCTTCCTTCCTTCCTTCTTTCCTTCCATCCATCCATCCATCCATCCATCCATCCATCCAATCATCCATCCATCCATCCATCCATCCATCCATCCATCCATCCATCCATCCATCCATCCATCCATCCATCCATCCATCCACCCACCCACCCACCCACCCACCCACCCACCTACCTACCTACCCACCCACCCACCTACCCAAACACCCACCCACCCACCCACCCACCCACCCATCCACCCACCCACAGACCCACCCACAGACCCACCCAACCCCACCCTCCCACCAACCCGCCCGCCCACGCCCACGCACACCCACCCATCCACCCACAGAGCCACCCACAGAGCCACCCACCCCACCCACCCACTAACCCGCCCGCCCACGTCCACGCACACCCACGCCCACGCACACCCACGCCCACGCACACCCACGCCCACGCACACCCACACGTACAAGTACATGTACATGTTCACGCACGCACACACTTAAACATGCACACCTATGTATGGATATATGTTATTCCTTCCTTTTAGGCTATCTCTACCGTTGATGCCTATGTCTCTAGTGATGTTAAGGGGGTGAGGTAATTTTGGTAAGGTAAACTTTTTCTCTTCAGGATGAAATCCAGGGCTTATTTCCTCGTGTAGAAGAATTAAAGTAAACTTCAATCACTAGATCAAAAGAGCTTTTCAGATAGTGAAGGTATAGTGGAATGTCTGAAAGAAAAATAAAAAATATGGAGAAAGAAGGACTATATCTATGGAACATCTAAGACTGATAGGGAATTCAGCCTCAAATGCTCTTTGCTGTTTTTGCAATAAATGATTGTAATTTGCAGCTGTTGTAATTTCGTAGGCAGACTCACTTTAACGTTTTCTTCCTAATGCTCCCTTCAGAATTTAAAGAAAAAGAGAAAACAAATGAAATAACAAAGTCTTTGCTTCCAAAGTCCAGTGTTATAGACCTGTTTGAAGATCTCTCTCATGATGCAGAAAAAGAACAAGAAAAAGTGAGAGAACAAGAAGGAAAAAAGAAAGAAAGAAAGAAAAAGACACAAAAGTATGATCTTTCATCATTTTGGATTTTAGAATGATTTTCTATATTAACTTCGCAAGAGGCTTATTTCGTTGCACGTTCTGCATTTCCCTTATTCACTTTGCCTTTTTTCACCGAATTTCTCTATTATTGTTTTTCTTTTACCCCCCTTCGTTATTTTACTACCTGCGGCCGAAAGAGGTTGGATGCCACATGGCCCTTGAATATTGCAAATATTACAGCCAATATCTTTTTGTGCTGTTGACTGTGGCTTTGCTAATGCCTTTATTTTTATTTGCAGATTCAGACATCAGTCATTTTATCATACTCTTTCTAACCATTTTTAATTCTTGGTTTCTTAAAAAAAAGGAAAGAAAAAGAACGAGACATTCTTTAACCACCCTTAGTTACTACTGAGCAACCACCCACTGACAGTGGTTATTTTTCACCCCCTTTGTATTACATCCCATGTTCCGAAAGGGATCGTTATCTTGCACTCACTGTCTTTTCCACTCTTTCTGAAAGAGGGAACTATTCTTGCTGCGCTTAAAGAAAACAAAAGAAAAGAAAGGAAAAAGAGGTCTGCGTCAGGCATCAGTTTTTTTCTCATGTTTAGTTTTCTTTTTTTTTTTCTTCTCTTGTAGAGCTGCGTTATCATAGAATGATTCTCAGATATGCACGCACACTTTTTATTTTTTCTGCAAATGGATCCCGTGTTTCCCTTTTTCCAGTGGTTTTCGGAAAGGTATCTTTATTTCATTTGATTTTCATTTGTTTTCCAAAAACAAAAGGTTCATTTGTATTTCTAACTTGCAGGTAAGTTCAGACATTTATATTACTATTGTGTATTAAGCATTAATTTTTTTTTTCCGTTGATACCCGAATGGATTATTGTCCATTTTATTATTTGTATTTTGTGACCATTGGCTGTGCCTTTTCTGTGTTATTCTTTTATGTGATTGTATTGCATTGAATAATTTCATGGCTGATATCCATATGGTGTAGCTGATGAAAAAAAAAAAAAAAAAAATTGTTGTTGGATCACCATTTGTTGCAAAACAGTATAAATGCATGATTACATATGTGAAGTGCCTTTTGCACTTGCCAAATACCTCACACAGCAGGCATAGCTTGATGTGTTGTAGGTGAGCGGTTTTGAGGTGGTTGGAAATCTACGGTTGTTGCCTGAGGACGAGATTTGCAAATGTATGTGTTATCTTGAGCTGAAGGTGGAGTAGAAAAGTAGAGTAGAACCCATGTTATTCTTTGATTTGGTAGTTATCTTGCAATAGATTTGTAAAAATTTTGTTCTGACATAGTGTTCTTCTTCTGAACAGTTTGTGTGTTCAGTGAATATTTAGAGAATTGAAAGTACCATTAAAATGCCTCTGTAACCAATGAAGAAATACAGAACTTTGTGATTTATGATAGCTGAGGGTATTTAAGACCCAGCATCTCTGTTCTGTTGGTCATGTTTTTATCATTATTTAAATATTGAATTTTGATGGAGTGTATGTTAATTCAAGAATCAATAAAAGTATGTCAAATCAGAAGGGAGTTAATCCAATGCCACTGGGAAAATGTGAAGTTCACTGTAGTGTTTTGTGAATGTATCTACACATAGATGGCTACACATAGACGTGACCTCACCTGATTTCCCCCTTCCTTGAGTGTCTGAGATTTTTTTACAAGTGCTGTCAATGTCAATGCTGTTTTTATTATTGATATGAATATTACAGTTTTATTAACAATACTAATAGCAATATAATGTCAGTTTTTTCTGAAAGTCAAGGAAAGGGTAAATAAGTGTGAGTCATTGTCGACTAAGCACTTATGGAGCCATCTTTGTGTAAATACAATTAATAAACTAAACTCTATGGGCATGGTATGTATTTACATGCCATTCCTGATGGTATTGGGTTGATATATAATGTACAGGCTATTTTCTTGGAAATAGGAAGAAGAGGACTGACCATAATTTTCTCATCGCTGCAATTTATTAAGTTACTTTGAATCTGATATGTCTGTCTCTTATTTATACCTTTTTGAATTATTACATTTTTTCCTCAGTAGTTCCTGTAGGTCTCCTTATTGTTGTTCATGTAGTTTGCTTCTTGCATTTTCACTCCTTTTTTTAAACAACTAAGAAGTGCAAAGGGCCACGGTTTTCCTTGTAGTATTTAGTTTTGGTAGTATATAGTGTTAGGTTTGTATGATGTTAGGCTTGGCAATCTTAGTATTTGTTAAAATAGTGCTTTTGTTGCTCCTTCTTACGGACTTTACTTTGAGAAATGTTTATTTCTTGGGTAAGCTAGTGCTAGGTAATTGTAGAGATTGATTGAGTGCAGAATGGAGAGGTCAGTATGGTTGAAATTTTTGTAGCAGCTGGAGCATGAGCATGATATTGAATGATAAGATTTAATTTTTATCTTGTTTTTCTAAAAGATTTAAATTTTGATAACTCTATTTTTCTAAAAGACATTTGTTTCACATTTAGCTAATATTTATACTGCATTATTATTGTTTGTCAAGAATGTTCAGTGATATTTATATTTTCTTCTAATATTGTAATTGAATGTATAAGAATGGGTATAAATTACAGGTTTATGTTTGAATTAAATGTGTAAAAAATGTTTTGTGGCATTGTTTGTAACTTAATTGTCATATAAGAAATGTTTAATCTCAGTTAGTTTTTACGTGTTTCTTTATGAATTTTTATTATTTTTAAATTGTAAGTTTGGGTTATTGGTAAGTGAAGTAGACTGTAAGTGAAGCATGTA